ATAAGTGATTTTTTTTTATTTTTTCGTATGTTCTTCGCCTAACCCATGTTGTCACTGTGTTTGATTCTGGTGCCCTGAATCTTGTTTATGTTTTTCTAATTTGGGGAGGGGAAGGAAAATAACAAAATGCTGAAATAAGTATACAGGTTTACCCATTATAACATGAGATGTACAAGACACTATGTTGAAAATGAATTTTACAACTTTTGGGGGTGAGGAAGGAGTTAGGAAGGTGAGGAAGGAAGGGATGTAGGGGAAAAACAAAGGAGGAGATAACAATGCTTGATAGGAAATGGACTCATTACCTTACTCATGGAACTGTAACCACTATGTACAGTATCTTTACTATAAACTATATAATAAAATAGTAGAATAACAAGTCAGGAGCCAGTAGCTCACACCTGCAATCCTAGCTAATCAGGGGACTGAAATTTGAGGATCACAGTTCGAAATCAGTCTGGGCAGGACTATCTTATTTCCAATTAACTTAAAGCAAGCACATAAACAAACAAAAAGAAAACAAAACAGAAGTAAAGCTGTGGCTTAAATGGTAGAGCTCTAGCCTTAAGCACAAAACCATGAGGGTAGCACCCAGGCACAGAATTCATTCAAGCCTCAGGAACAAAAGAAATAAAAACACAAACATAAAACAGCAGACAATATCTTGTTTTCCCAAAGGATAATGCTTGGTTGCCAGGCAATAGGATATTCAGGGACTAATGTGAACTTTCTAGTTCAGTTCTGGTACTCTGCTTTATGAGGGAGCAGTTATCAACTTAATTAATGGTGCTTGTTTCTTGCTCTGAATTTTTGGGATTGGGAAGACAGGCTTAGATGTGGAGAGGTGGAAGGAGATAATGGATTAATACTAACTCAAACTGGGAGTCCAGCCAGACACCCAGCTGCAAGTTTCCCATTTATACTTCCTAATGTGTGATCAATTCAATTGTTAGCTTTTTAAAACACAAGTAATTAGGTAATGTAGTCTCTTCTAGGTCAAAAGGTGTTAAGCATATGTATGCTTGTGTACATATGTGTGGTCTGTGTGCTTAGGTGCAGGGGCGGGTCATGGGCACTTTTAAGGGGTGTGTGTATGATATGGGCAGGATGGGTTTTTATTGTCAGTGTATGTGTGTGAGCACAAATATGAAGGCATGTGGGTATGTTGGTATGTGTATGTGCATGTGGTTATGAGGGTATGGGGTTATTGGCAGATAAATATGTGTGGGTGAGTATGCAGGTATGTGTTTTGATGTGGATATATGCGAGTGTAGGTTTGTAAATGTGTGTTAGGATGTGCATATGTGACAAGGTATGGGGTGTGGCGTTGTGCAATTGTGTGTATGTGTGCATTGGAGTAGAGGGTATGCATCTGTGTATGTGTATACATGATTATGGGAGGTTAGGTTTGTAATTATGTATAAGAGGTGTATTGTGAAGGGGTATGGAAATATACAATGTGTGTGTGTGTGCATGTGCATATGTGTATGGGAGTAGTGTGTGTGTGTGTGTGTGTGTGTGTGTGTGTTTGCTGGACATTAGATGAAGTTCACTTAGAAGCTGTTTCTAAGGTTTCCTCAGTTTTCTGCTGACTTTCAGAGCTCCTGTCTGTGTCAGCAGTTTTCTATTTGATTAGGAATCTGTTCTAAATATTCCACACTGAAGCTGGGAAGGCAGCCTACTGGGAATGAGGAAGGCATTCTGCAGAGCTTTGACAGCCATGGTGCTCCCTGTTGCTATCAGTGGACAGCCCTGGGCTCCTGGATAAAGGCTACTGGCCACATTGCTCTCCCTGCTCAACATGGTGATGCAAGATTCCTAGGAAATCTAGGTATAGGAGTTTGCCTGTTTTTCTTTGATGCCCATTTTTAGGTTAGGACAGCTGAAATGAGTTTCTGTCCTCTTTTATTCCCAACAATTTAGGCAGTGGAATATTTAATCCTTACAGGAAAGGATTAAGGAAATAGTTCTTGACATCCAAGAACTTTGGCTTGATTGGCAAGTTTGCAAAACAGTTGGTGTCAGTATTTAATAACCTGTCCTTACCTGAACTTTTCAGGATTTAAATGACTCAGTGCTGTACATATTTAAGAGGGAGGTGGTAACATATTAGACATCTAAGTCATTATTACATAGGAATCCTTGTCTAGAAGGACAGGGTGTGTTTGTCTTAATATCATTAAATTTCTACTATCTCGTGATGTCCTTTTCAAATATTAAGACTTAAAGTAGCTTCTGGGAAATATTTTGTCATGTTCTGCAACTTTGGAAATGGACTCACAAGGCCTGTGAGTTTTGCCAAACATGTTAAATTGTAGAGATTTACATCATTGGTAGTTTTGTGATTTCAATTTCTCTGTCTCTCTCTGCCTCTGTCTCTCTTTTTTTTCTCTCTCTCTCTATGTGTGTGTGTGTGTGTGTGTATATATATATATATATATATTTCAATTATTAAATCTTTTAATGAGAGATAATCAAAGTTAAGGGTTTTGTTTTTGGTTTTGCTTTTACATATTTATTTTTCTAGTACTTGGGTTTGAACTCAACCTTATTTGGCATGTGTGTCTTTGTTTAGCTGGTGCTACCACATGAGCCATATCTATAGCCCAGATTCTTTCTGGTTATTTTGAAGACAGGACCTCAAAAACTTTTCTATATCTAATCTGACTCCAAACTTGGGATCTTAGACTTCCAAGTGGCAAAAATTAAAGAAGCAAGATGCTGGTGCCCAACAAAGTTATCTAACTTTAAGAGCGTGCTGTTATCCTGCCCAATAAAATGGAATTAAAAATAATTGTACAGTTTTTTTTGAGCTGGAATTTGTACATGTAAAAGATACATTCAGTTTCTTTTCTGTACTGGTTCATGCAGTTATATTTGCATTATACATAATATTACAATTATATAATATATATTGCAATTGTATAGTTGTATATAATTGCAATAGCAACTCTTTTGTGTGTGTGTGTGTGTGTGTGTGTGTGTGCATGTGTGTGTGTGTATGTATGTGGTGCTGATTCAACACTGGACTTCATGTAAATGCTTTACCACTTGACCAATATTTCTAGCTCTTTTATTCAGTTATTGGTATATTTTTTGGAAGCTGATGTTATATAATATATTATTTATTCATTTACCTATTTATAGTTTTTTTAACTTTTTATTATCCTTAGTTGTACAAAGGGATTTCACCTTCACATGTCAGTTTTAAGTTTGTACTTGCTTTTGAGAGAAAATATCTCTAACTACTTGTGTGGGCCTTAAAATTCTGATCTTCCTGCCTCAAGTCTCTAAGTAGTTGTTTTAAAACATGCATTGCATAAGTTATAACACATACACAAACATATTGTACTAATAAAAATTATAATGGCTTGATACATTCTTTAAAAACTATTATAATTACTCAGCATATTATAAAGATAATTTGTATTACTGGATGTTACATATTTATACTCACAATTTTCATTGAATATACCTTAATCTCCACCAAAAGATTTACTTTGTAGTTCATCATAAATAATACCTAATACTACATAATTTACAGCATGGCAATGCTGTCTGCAAACATTATTTTGCTTTTTTTCTTGTGAGTTGTGGTTCTTGAACTCAGCTTGGGCGCTGTGCCTCAGCTCTTCAGCTCAGGGTTAGCACTCTACTACTTGAAACACAGCGCCACTTCCGATTTTCTGGTGTTTTATTGGAGATAAGAGTTTCATGCCCTGCCCATGCTGGCTTTGAACTACAATCCTCAGATCTCAGCTTCCTTCGTAGCTAGGTTTACAGATGTGAGCCACTGGTGCCCAGCTTGTTTTGCTTTTTGTAAACAAAAAACTATATTTGGCTTCAAAACAAAAGGAACCTTGAGACATTGTCAAAATTATGAGTTTTTACCTGTCTTAAGCTATTTCAGAAGAACTATCAGATGCATACATAATTCAAATCATCTATTCCTTGCTTGTAAATACTTAGTCTGCATAGTCCTTATAGAATAAGGACTGAAAAAAAGAACTCATTCCCAAGAAAGAGAATGGTATTTATGTTTGGAAAGTGATAACATAGCTAAACAATTTAGGCATATGTGGAGAAATGGAGAATGTGATAATCCCTGCACTGAAGATAGGGAAGACAAGGGTTACATCAATGGTTGTTTGCAGTCAAGGAGATGAATGTAAATGGAGCAGGCAATAGGCACAGTGTTTACCCCTTCTGCAATTCTATGGAGAATGAATTACATCAAGATGCTTTAAAGCACAGTAACACTGAGTTTTCTAATTGAATATTACAGGATATGTGACAAATGTCCATATATGACTTTGTGCCCATTATCTGTGAGATTTTTTTTGATGTTAGATTCATAAACTAATGGCTGAATTATTGTTTCCATTGTGGAAGGAGAAAGAATTTGATTTTGAAACTTGATAATGTTTTAATGATTATTTCTTAGGTGCATATTCATTCATTTCCAAAATTAATGATTTTTGAACTGGCTCAGTCCCAGTATCAATGGAGACCTAGTGTGAATCTCTCCTGTGCTGAGATTGGCAGTGTGTAGTTCAGACCTCAAGTCACAAACATGATGGCTTTGAGGATAGAGACAAAGATAGTCCTAATGCATGCTTTCCAATGACCTTGGCTTACTGCTATGTTACCAACAGCTTGCCATTTCTTAGATTAGAATATACAACATGATAATGAAAGGATATAGGAAATAGAAAACTTATGATTCTATAGTATGTCCAAAACACACGTGATATGGACTAGGTTTTTCAGTTTAGAAATTTAATAACTAAGTAATTGTTTTTATTTTGACAGAAAAGTGACTGAACTTTAATTTTAAAAGTATAAAATATTTCATTAATTGTAAGATTTGAATCCTCCCTGCTACCAAATTTTTTCAGGTTCTTTTTTTCTTCTTTTTCAAGAAAAAAAGCCCAACCCAGAGGATGAAAATGTACACAAAACTAGAAACATTAACCACTCTTAAAAATCCTGTTTTTCAGGAAAGAACGGTGACGATCAGAAGACAGACAGTGGGAGGATTTGGACTGAGCATCAAGGTAGTCCCTTTTCAGTCTGTATTTAGCAAGGCTAAGCCTTAAGGCCAGATTTCTGTCTATTCTATTGTTTTCTGGTTCATAACTAGACAAGGATGGGTTGTAAATTAGGTATATTCTCATGGAACTATAGACACCTTTAGCTTTTTATTCACATATTTTAGGAACTGTTTTGGGAGCTTCACCATACCTGTTAGTGAATATAAAATATTAGCTTTTTTATCTGGTATCTTTTAAAATATTTGATATGTTAGATGTTTTCCTTCAATCCATCAGTGTATAAAATGCTGTTCCAGAATGAATGGAACAAGAGCTAAGATTCATGTTACTATAGCTGATAGCCAGCATGGTCATATGCTGTTGAATTCATTGTATCATGTTCATTTTTTAAATTTGTTTGACCTTTATTAAAGAAATCCCTATATCTCTTCTTTCAATGTAAAGTTTATTTATTATAATATTGCAAGGGATTTATTATTGAATTTGATTTGACCACTGGAGATGGACTACAAGAGCAGTATACCCTCAGTGAAATAAGATAATTTTTAAAAGGAGAGGACATTATGTAAAAATTGAAGGGTTAGTCTAAAAACCTTAATGCCCTTAGCAAACTTACATCTCTGTGTTCATAAGCAAAAGTTGACTTCTTTTAGGCATTCTTGTTTGGGCATTTTCTTACATAGGGTGAATAGGTTTCTACATCTCCAAGACACCTGTAAAAAAATCTTAACTGGATTCAATTCTGTATGTCAAAAGGTAGTACTTTTCATGAAAATCAATCAACTCTAGTCAACTTTGTGGAAATAGATATCAATGTGCAATTATTATGTCAATGATGAGACTGTTACCTAAGCATTATTTTGTCAACAGTGAGAATGTTACCTCTGAAGCATTTAGTTTACAAATATATTTTGCATTTATTCTACTTGTTACTCAGACCAAAAAGTGACAAGACAAATGAAGGTGTTGTGACAAGGCCTGCTAGGGAAATTATATCCCTCTGGACATAACCACAAGGTTTATTGAAGGTATTGTGAAGTATTTTAAAGGTAATATGAAAGTTACCAGAAAATCCAAGACTCAAACCTAGTAGCTAATGGTTAGTTCATTTATTTGAGACTTCTGTTTCCTGACTGGCTCGGATGCCATTTCAGAAGAGTCTATTGCTGTTTGGTCCTTCTGCTCTTTACTTAGAGTTGATACCCTATAACACAATTGTACTGAAAGACCAGTTTAAACAATTTATAAAAGTTAATGATTTTTTTGAAAGCATCAAAAAATTTTTTACTTGATAATTTCAATCTAAAAGTTCACCATTTTGATTCATACACATAGTATAATTTTCAGAATTAAATAAGACTGTACTTACCACTCAAAATGTTGGCTACAGATGTGATATTTGAACTATGACAAGTGCCATACAGTATATTATAACCAGAAAATAAATGGTGGTATTTTTATTTAGAATTAAATTAGTTTATTGATTTATCAGTCCCTACTTTGGATTTCTTAGTACTCATGTCTCATTTTTAGTATTCTGCTTTCCTTTCCTGTTTATGTGTGTGTGTGAAAGAGAGAGAGACACACACACACACACACACACAGACAGAGACAGAGACAAAGACAGAGACAGAGACAGAGAGAGACAGAGAAAGCTGTAGACCCACTTGCTTTGTGGTGGTTAATTGGAGATAAAAATCTCTAGGACTTTTCATGCTGCAGATCTCCACCTTCTGAGCAACTAGAAATACAAGCATGAGCCACCAGCAGCCAGCTCAAAGTTTTCTTTTCTATTTTTAAAACTATTTTTCATTTTGGTTATATAGATCAAATTTGTAATTTAAAAAAATTTTAAATAAAAATCTTGCTTTACAGTTTCCTTTTTGGTCATATGTTAATAGGTAAATTATTATGTTCAATAGTACTGTTTTCTTTAAGTGTGAGAATTTAGAAATTTATATCTAATGAACATTTAGAATTCAGTATAGGCTCAGTGAAGAATTAACATTTTAATGTCAAATCATTAATTTATTTCAGGAGCAATTTGAACTAATAATATAGCTATGTCATAAATATATATAAAAAATTAACATTAATTGTTCCAGTTAAGAACTAGTATACATGTGGGAGGGTTTTTTTTATTATTTTTATTGTAAAGATACTGTACAGAGGGGTTACAGTTACATGAGTAAGGCAATGAGTACATTTCCTCTTGAGCATTGTTACCCCCTCCTTTGTTTTTAGCCAGCCATCTCTTCCCTCCTCACCTCTCCAACTTCTCCCCACTCACTTCCTCCACCCCCGAAAATCAAGTACAGTGAAAATAGGAATTATATCAATAGGGAAGAACATACAAAAGAAATAAAAAGATCACATAGTACATTATAAGTACATTAAAAACAACAACAGCAACAAAGATAAAACCTCTTGTGTTTCTATCTTGGGGTTCATTTTGCTTAGCACCATCTTATATGGTCGTATGTGCATAGCTTTTGACCTTTTCTGCTTATCTTGTAAGATTATCCCAGACATAAACTAGTTATTGCAAATAAGGGAAACCATGGGACCTATGTTTCTTTGGGTCTGGCTTACTTCACTTAATATAATTTTTTTCATGTCATTCCATTTCCTAACAAATGGGGTAATGTCATTCTTTCTGGAGCTAAAAAAAATACAATGGAAGAAAGACGGCCTCTTCAGTAAATGGTGCTGGCAAAATTGGCTAACCACCTGTAGAAAACTAATGGATCAAGAAAATGTAGTATATATACAGAACTGAATTCTATGCCTCCATCAGAAAGAAGGACATTGCCCCATTTGTTAGGAAATGGAAATACTTGGAAAAAAATATATTAAGTGAAGTAAGCCAGGCCCAAAGAAACATAGGTCCCACGGTTTCCCTTATTTTCAATAACTAGTATATGTCTGAGACAAGCAGAAACGGTCAGATAAGTTGATGTTAGGCAAAATTAACCCCAAGATAAGGACTCAAATGGTTTTCCTTTCTTGCTATTGTTTCTAACATATTTATAAGATGATTTCTTTGTTGCTTTGTATGTCCTTCCCCCACGGTATAATCCCTGTTTTCACTGTATTTGATGTTGGTATAATTTGTGGAGGGGAAGGGAAAAAACCAATTGTTTAAATAGGGATACAGGTGGACCCATTGCAACAATGATTTGTGCTAGTCGTTATGTTAAAAAATGAACTTTACAACTTGTGGGGGGGGAAGGGAAGGATGGGAAGGGATGAGAAGGGGATACAAAGAAGAAGGCACAATGCTTGCTTGATAAGAAATGTACTCATTACCATGCTCATGTAATTGTAATCCCTCTGTAAGGTATTTTCACAATTAAAAAAAAAAGAAAGAAAAAAAAGAAAGCTAAAGCTAGATCCTTATATATCACAATGGACCAGAATCAACCCCGAAAATATTAAAGAACTCAAAGTAAAACAGACAACCTGAAAACATTACAGGAAAGAATAGGAGAAACTGGGCTGGGAAGGTGGCTCAGTGGTAGAGTGCTTGCCTTGCATGCATGAGGCCCTGGGTTTGATTCCTCAGCACCACATAAGCAAAAAGAAAAAAGCCAGAAGTGACGCTGTGGCTCATGTGGTAGAACGCTAGCCTTGAGCTGAAGTGCTGAGGGACCGTGCCTAGGCCCAGAGTTTAGGCCCTACGACCGGACCCCCCCCCAAAAAAAAAGAATAGGAGAAACTCTAGGGCTCCTTGGCACAGGCTGAAATTTTCTTAATGGAGACCCAGAAACATAACAAATCAAAGAAAGGTTGGACAAATGGGATTGTTATTCAGAGCTTCTGCATGACAAAGGGTATAGCTAGCAAGATCAATAGAAAGCCCACAGATTGTGAGATCTTTACTAGCCATACAACAAATAAGGGCTTCATATCTAAAATATACTTAGAACTCAAAAAAGTAAATCCTCCAACAACAAATATTCAAAGAAATAACCACCTGATTAATAAGTGGGCTAAAGACTTAAAGAGAGACTTCTCTGAAGAGGAAATAAGAACAGCCAATAGACGCATGAAAACATTCTCAACTTCTCTAGTCATAATAGAAATGCAAATCAAAACAACACTGAGATTCCACCTCACCCTATTTAGAATGGCTATAATCAAGAACTCTAATAACAACAGATGCTGGAGGGGATGTGGACAAAAGGGTACTCTGCTACACTATTGGTAGGAGGATAAACTTGTTCAACTACTTTGGAAAGCAGTATGGAGTTTCCTCAAAAGACTGCACATAGAGCTCCCCTATGACCCAGCAATCCCGCTTTTGGGCATTTACCCAAATGATCACAAACAAGATCATACTAAAGCTACCAGCACACCTATGTTTATCACATCATTATTCACCATCACTAAGATATGGAACCAACCCAGATGCCCCTCAGTAGATGACTGGATCAAGAAAATGTGGTATGTGTGTGTATATATGTGTGTGTGTGTGTGTGTGTGCGCGCACACACACACACATACACACATGTAGGAGGTTTTGTGGTAAGAAGTATTAATTAAACTCTTATGGTCTCATTAGAGATGGAAGGAAGGTGTTGTGTTAAATAACTGAGAAGAAATTCACTGATAGTCAAGATTCCCAATAGATCTTAGGGTAAATATTTAATTGACTCAGAAAACAGAGACACTCAGTTTAAATTTCCAAAATCCCTTTCATTTTCTTCTGTGTCATTAGTGGGGTTCGAACACGGAACCTGAGTTCTGTTCCCTATCTTTTCACTAGTGCTCTATCACTTGAACCACAGCTCTACTTATAACTTGTTAATTAAGAGTCTTACAAATTCTCTGGCTTGGTCTGGTTTTTAGTAGGGATCATCAAATATCAGCCTCCTTAGTAGCAAGGATCATAGGCATGAGTCACCTGATGAAGTTCTCTTTTTTATAAACTTGACTGACAGATAATAGAAGGTCTTTTCATTCTGAAACAAACAAAATACTTCAACATGCACTCTGGAAAC